CCAGATCTCAGCTGTGACTGACACCCGAAGACACTTGGCCAGCAGAGCAGGAAAAATGATAACGGACGGGATTCGAACTACCGACCATCCCCACGATCTACCAACGATTACGCTTTAACACGCTCGGCTACCAGCTTGCTCCTTCGGGGCCGAGATCTGAGCTCGGTCCTGCCGAACGGGAGACAAAATGCGACAAAGAAAAAATTTGCCCCCGCCCGGGAGTAGATCTTAGGGCCGACAATTTTAGTTCGGATGATGCTGCATGCGGTCATGTCGACTGACTGTAGCTACCTACAACTGTTTAACTACAAAAGGGGCGTGTGGCTCGTGGTGTCGGACATCGTATGTTGCCACATTTTTGACCACATTTTTGTATCCATGAACAGGGACGTGTCTTTTACTACCACTTGTCGCCGCGACACGCGTTGTCGCTTGGACGCCTGCGAGGTAGGCCACGGCTTCTCTCTAAGGCGCCTGTCGTGACGGGGACTTCGGGCTTAGGCTCCTTTTGACCTCAGGCTCCTAAATCCTTTCAAAAGCTAAGAAGTGACGCCGTGTCAATCTAGGCGTGGGTCGATGATTGTCGCTGAACACGCCTGGAGGGTAGGCAATGCTTTCCTGAATCGGAGCCCCGCGCCGCGGTCCCCTGCCCCCCGAGTGCTCGGACTAGGTGAGAGCTTCGGAGAGGCATTGGTATATTTCGTTTTCGCTTTAGTTCTTAGCGCTGTCCCAGGTAGCAAGGCCTGCATTTTTTGCGCATTGAAAGCGCCACAAATGCAGGTCAATGCGCTAAAAATGCGCATTCTACGCGCGGCTCTGCTACCTGGGGTTTACTTCTGATTGATATTGTAGCATTGGCGGAAGTAATGAATTCGTCTATAGACGGTTCAGTTTTCAGTTTAGGCTGACTCGGGCACTGTCGGCTGTAGCTACAATCCTGTAGCTACAAACAGGGACGTCGACATAGGGACCAAGTAAGCTCAAACTGAACCGTCTATAGACGAATTCATTTCTTCCGCCAATGCTAGAATATCAACCACAGAAGTTAACAGCGCTTAGAAATAAAGCGTAAACGAAAGCATCTCCGAAGCTCTCGCCTTGTCCGGGATGTGATCCTTTAGGGTTCCCGACCCACGCAACATGTGGCCGCAGTGCAGTGGGGACCAAGAATCCTAGGACTCTATGGGGAACCTCTGGGAAGACTTTTGGCGGAGGACGCCTGGGGTAGGGTAGGCAATCCCGCCTCGCTTGTTCGGGATGTGATCCTTTGGGGGTACCTACCTCCCGCCCCGTGCATTGTTGTGTGGCTGCAGGGGCTAACGCCAGCGAAGTGCTGTGGCTGAGAGTGCCTGGAGAGTAGGTATGGTGTGGTCAGACGTTACTCAATAGTTCAACGAAAATTTAAGTGAATTAATGCGTGAGAACTTCCCCAGGTAAAACTGTCCCTGTTTGCAGCCTCAGGGCTGTAGCTACAACCGACATGACCTCCAGTGTGTGGCAACAACTTCGGCGACCGGAGCATAATCCGAACACTGTAATGACTGCTTATCGCGCCAAAGGCAGCCAACCGAGCTGACCAGTCAGGTCAGCTAAAGTAGTAACCGGACACGCATCCAGAAAAAGATGTATCTTATAAGCCATAAAACTAAGAAATAGGAGACAATGCCAAGAGATAGGGTTTAACTGTTTTATTATTCTCTCCTGTGTTCAACCAAGTACACACAGAAAACCAGAATGTCATATGTGTGATGACTTACATTTGATAGCTATGAAGGATGGAGTTAAAATGATCAATAACACACAGTGAAATAATGTATAACAGGAAGATGCTGCAAGAAACCAAGCCTTATATAGTATAAGAATGGAAACAGTAAAAAAAAAGGGAGGAACTTCATGCAGTGACAAATAAAAAGATGATTTTCATAAACAACTTTCAAATGGGTGATAGTGTGAAGCAGGGCTTACACACACTGTTTTGAAACATAATACTTACCTGGCAATAGAGCCAAATAAATATCAATTCAAAAGCAAAGCATTGAACTAAATGATCAAGTAACACGGGATGATAATATACAAATTGTGCCATTGCTGCTAGAAGCACATTTTGAAAAAGTAGTGCAACTTCACTTGGTTATTACTGGTATATTATTGGTACAATTTTTAAAAAGAAGTTTACAAAAGGGCAGTGAAATAGAGATGGATTGGGCGTTTTCATCAATTCCTTTATCATTTAAACAACAAAATTTGAGCATTTCCAGTGCATTTTATAAAGCCCAGGGTTCTTTGTAAAATGGACCACAGAATCCGACTTTCCAAAGAGAAAAGTGTTCTAAACAAATACCAAAAAAACTAGCCTTTACAATGTATTTTCAGAAAGTCTTCATAATGATTTGGATATAGAATAGTAGCTGGCAGTGATTATAGATTCGACTGATAAGTAAATGTATTCGATTACAAATAGAAAAGAAGTCTTTCACAGTAAAGAATTCTCTAAAAACTTTGCAAGCTACTACCAGTTATTTTATATCAATTTCTCAGAATTGTCAATTTGACATAACTATATGGACTCTCTAAACAACAAAATTGATGTCAGATGAAAATTGATCCATATGCTTACACATGGATGGAAGAAGTACATGTATATAACCTATTAGCTTGAAATATTTCAGTCTACATGTGATTGAAAGTTCTGAATGTGCATTCCAGTTTTTTAAACAACCCATCAATATTCATTAAACATTCAAAAACAATTATCAAAACATTGAAGTCCTTGGATAATGCAAACCATAAGATTCTTTATAAAAATTACAGGAACAGTCAAATACAACTCTATCCAAGGCTCAGTAACCGGAATAACTACATTTGGCAACAGAAAATGTTTCAACTTTTCTTTGAAATTTGTAATACAGATAGCTTTTGTTGATACTTTAAATTTTTCACAGGGGGTTCAGGAACGGATGGGGATGGGTAATATGAAATTCACAGGAGGCTACTGTTTTAGGCTAGTAGTCAAAAGTTAGCGACTCCTTGCAATTAAAGGATGCCAGCAGCCACAGTAATTTTAGCAAATTCACAAAACACAAAAGACTTTTGGCTCAACCCCATTCAAGAGACAAAAATTGGTGTATATTCATTAGTGTACTGATTGGCTAATAAGGACCGAATTCATCAACTGCTTTCAGAAACAGTAATGGATTCACTAAGCACAAATAGTTATCACATTCAATAATTCAAATAAATGAGAAACAAAACAGAAAAAAATCATGAAGCAAAAATGGTAAAGCACAAAGAGGATACAGGATGACACATAACATCTCTGTGATAAAAAAAAAAGGGAAGTAAAAAATGTTTACAATTTTTCCAAGAAGTATGGAAAGTTAGATGCATTTGTGCATTTGAGACACACATATCACACAACAACAATTTACATTCATCAATGTCAAACAATAATAAATTCAATTAAAAATGGTGCAAGAGACCAGAATTAAAAATTTGGGTCTCATCACCTGCCTTAAACAAATCATACAATAAATGAGACTACACATGGTGAACAATGAATTTGGTAGCTCAAATTAGAAAATATTATATACAAATGAAGAGAAATATATCTAAAATTACTGTACGGTTTGTTCTACAGTTTAATGCAAGAGGCTTATGTTTATTGCAACTTACACTATCACTCACTTTAACCCTAGCGGTCTTCCACTTTTTATACACTATGATGTTGCTTCTCAAACAAATACATTAGATTGAAAAGTTAAGAAGACAGACATTAAAGAGAATGGTTTTCCTCATGATTTTACATTGGACTCGTCCATGTTATAAAGTTAAAATAAAAAATAAAAGTAAGAACAATTTATGTTGATAAGCCAACAAGGCAAGAGGTACGTAAATGAAGAAAGTTACAAAAGACTTAGTACAAAACGCAATTAAGATAAATAATAAAAACAAGGATAAGATGTAAGAATGAAACTAGGTATTATAGATTCCATTTAGTATCTAAATGGACAAAAATTATTGATCATACAATGTCAGCAAATCTTAAACTAAATGCATGTCATAAAGTAGTAATACTGGCAGATGCCAATAGCACATGAGACAGTGCTGACTTTATGTATATACAAAAATAATAACATAAAAATCCTGAATTCCTAACATGCTTATCAATAACAAGTAATGTCAAAGCTTTAAATCATAACTTGTAGTGCCTATTACAAGCTAAGCATGTACATACCTACTACAATTTGGGTTATATTGATGAGAGCTATCTATGGCTTGTCAAAGAGGACAAAAAAACGATACAATGGAAAGACAAACAAAACTTGGGTCGAAACCATCTGTTCTACTTGTAAATGCATCATACTAAAATAAGCAATCAAACACACTATCACTGGTGACACTAATCAGTCCAAAACATGATATAGCAAGCTGAGGAGGCCTGAATGATGTACAATATCAAGACTCACTGCTGAAAAATACGTAAAATAAAAAGCATCACTTCAAGATAAGACCCTTCCTCATCAGTCTCTTCTTTACTGTTCATGGAAACGGTATTACCAAAAAGTGAAAGTTCAAAATAATGTCTTAAATAAATAAGAAGACAATCAACAACTATGAGTGAGCAATATGTGTTTGTTATTTACTACAATTAAGTGTTCTGTGCTTCTAGAAGTCAAGCACCAAAATATAATAATAATAGTAATGCCAACTTCTTTGATGTAATGGTAACACTGCTTGACTTTTGTTTTGAAAAGGTTGGATTGTGATTAGTGTTACACAAATGAGTACACTAGATTGCCCACCTATCCCCTATCTCGGCCCAGTTTAAGAAGGCAACTTGGTCAGGTACGATGAGACTGACCTGGAAAAAGACAGTTCAGAATAATAGACATTTAGAATGAATTTCTTAACACTGCTTGTTGACACTTTACCAAAAGTGCACACACAAAGATGAAATTACCAAATTTCAGCCCGGCAACGTGCCATGAGGCACTCGCAAGGCATGGGGCCAGTCGGGGAGGTGGGCGCGGTCTCAGTATGATGAAGCTTCTTTGTATTCAGAACCCTCCATGGTGAAGAAATCTTCCAACTTCCATTGAAGAGTTTCAAAGGTTGGCCGCTTCATGGGATCCTTGTGCCAACATTCCAGCATGATGTCGTACAAAGCACTAGGACATTGATTAGGGCAGGGCATGCGATACCCATGTTCCACCTGATGCAAAACCTCAGCATTTGTCATACCTAAAAGACAACATGAGGTCATTATTAGCATTTCATTCAATTTAAATATTAATAATATACATTTGATGATGGCAAACAGTTTGAAACAAATAAAGTTTACCTGGATAAGGTATGCGTCCATAAGTTACCAACTCAGTCAAGAGAATACCAAAACTCCAAACATCTGACTTGATTGAGAATTTGCTATAGTTAGCAGCTTCTGGGGCAGTCCATTTGATGGGGAAACGTGCACCAACACGAGCTTCATATTCATCCTCCTATAGAGTATAGAACAAAATTATGATTATTCTCCTAAGTTAAACAGAGAACCATCTGATGCAATGAACCAAAGTTTTTACCTTGATCAAACGAGCCAAGCCAAAGTCAGCTATCTTCACAATATTATTGTCTCCAACTAATACATTTCTAGCGGCCAAATCACGGTGGATATAATTCTGAGACTCAAGGTATGCCATTCCAGCAGCTATCTGAGCAGACATATCTATCAGTTGAGCGAGTTTAAGCCCACGTCCTTTGCCTGTAGAGAAATTGTTTCTTAGTGAATAGGCAAAATAGATAAAGTGGAAAAAATCTTTCAGTTCTCAACAGCTAACACTTCACTTACCTTGAAGAAAGTCTAACAAGCTCCCATTTTTCATTAGCTCTGTGATAATATAGATTGGCTCTTCCATGGTACACACAGCATATAATTGGATGAGTTTGGTATGTCGTAGTTTTTTCATTATTTGTGCTTCTGCAAGGAAGTCTTTAGGATCCATGGTACCTGTAAACATTCCATAGAAAGAAAAGCGTTAGAAGTCAATTAATTATGGTTAATAGTAAGATTATTTTTTTAAAGTAACAAAGAAAGATAGTCATACCTGGTTTTAAGGTTTTAATGGCAACAGGGGTTGTGTTGTTCCAAAGACCTTCCCACACCTCTCCAAACTGCCCATGCCCAAGCTTACGAACAAATTTCAATGATTGGCGGTCTATTTCCCACTGATCACGTGTTGAATGTGATAGTCCTCCAGTGACAGGCTTTTCAATCTGTAATAGAAATACAGGATAAGTTAGTAAAACTTACCTGAACATAACTAGCAGCAAAAAGTTGCTGAGACAGCAAAAACAATCAAAAGAAAAACACAATCATGAGTGCAACATAAAAAAAGTGAATTGGTTAAGAGGTGAAAACTGATAATGAACACCCCAGGGTATGAGAAGATAGGGGCATAAGTGTTTAATAACAGTACCATCAAAGAAAGAGCTTTGAAATAAAAATAAGTTTTGAGGGTTCTATGCATGCTTTATAGCATAAGACAATATTTTGAGCAGATACTAAAATCCATGCTTTCTAATGTTTAATTCTTTGTAATTCTTTCAGTAGCAAAGATTTATAATTTTCAATATCATGATTAGTAAAAAGTATTTGTCACAGTTAAAAATTCAAAATTTGCATTACAGGAAAAGTTCCTGTAGCTCTTTCGTAGCGGGCACAAAAGAAAGAATCCCCCCCACTCACACCTGTACAGTACACTGCATACTTCAAAAAAACAACTATCCACATTGACATTTGCCAACAGCTTTGCCTATCTTTAAAAGCATGCACAGAACATTACATTCTATAGTTGTTTCTATGACCTACATATAACCATCAGTCAAAAGTACTCATTAAGTCTTTAAGAGTAACTTTCTAGTTGGACAAAAAAAGGGCCAAAAATATTTGTGCATGGATGAAAGTTAAAAATACTATGGACATCCATATGCTTGCAAGAATATAATGTAAGATGTTACTTTCAAAGGTGGACTGCTACTAAATCTGCCACTCAGAATTACAAGATGGATAATTTAAGTAAGATATATTGTGATTGGTTATTCATGTCTGTGAAGAGTTCAAGTCGTCCAATATTTTCAAGTAGACAATTAAGGTTCAGACTACACTACAATTGACCAGAACCAAATGTGACCAGAGATATTTTAACTACATGAAACCACATGGAAGGGGAAGACATGTCTTATAGGAGAGTTTGTTTTGTATACCTAGACAATCAACTCAGCAGATCACAAGTATTGGTACATGACTGAAATGTGCAAAACTAATAACCAAACTAATTTCAAGTATCACACCATAGTTAAATGTCCACCTTAGAAAAGATAGATTTTTTTCATGAGAAGGATTATGCACAAATTTCCAAACAATGTGAATTCATATTAATGAGGGGGTGCAGATGTGCAAAAATTAGCTTTAGACTCCCAATATCTATTCCACATTATACAATAACAACATGCCAGTCCGGTCTTAATCAAAACTACTTAATGTGTGAAAAGCTGACATATTTTGTTGCTTACCAGTTTCATCTGAAGCAGGAGACAAAAAGGATGTTAAAATTAATACCTTTGAAATTTTGCTTACTCACCCCAATATATGTAAATTTTAAATCAACTTCACAACCTAACAAACAGTCTAAGAGATATTTATTTTTCTTTAATAGTCAACTGCATGTGTTTTCGTGTTCTATTTGGCACACATTTGGCGAAGGTCTTGAACGGAAGAGAATACAAGTCTTGTAGACTATCAAATCATTATTTCTTGGTACTTGCCTGAATACACGGCTTTCGAAGATTCACGCAGAGGCCGTCAGCATCCTTGCTATAGTGTTCTACCAGTTCTTGCAAAGTGCGGAAAGTGGTGCGGCGAGCAATGAAAAATCCCCCCTCGTCCAGTTGGCGAATCCGGTAATGCTTGACCGTATCTCCGTCCCGAACTGCGAATAAAACAGCTCGTTATAACATAAGAGTAACTAATAAACAAAACATTACATTTTTTCAAACAACTTTTAATTGTATTCTTTGTTATACTTCGACGGTTCAGTTGGAGAAAATAACGACAGAAAGTACAGTATTGGAAGATTGTCCAAATTTTGTGGATACTGACCCGAGAGCGAGTAGTCGTTCCTTCGGCTCTCCGAGTCCCTGATGAGGAAGGCGCCGTGCTCGTTCTCTGGCAGCAGCAGCTTCTTCTCTGCCTCGATGCGCTTGATCTTGCCAAAGTACCATCTGTAAACAACACAACTATCGTTAGTCGCTGGTTTTTAACATACAAGCTGCCTTGAAACACCCGGCAATGTTTTTGTCTCCTTTTTAATGTAAATAAAACAAAAGACGGTGGCTGAGAGTACTATATTGGTGTCGATTTGAGATCATATTTGGGGCAACAATAATAAGGAGCAGTGGCCCGGCGGGTCACTGATAGCCCAGCCCATCCCAGCCCAGCCGAGCCCCGCCCAGCCGGGTTCAAGTTACTCCTGTAGCCCAAATCTCTCCCTGATTACCCACCCGGCCTTTCACGAGGCCGATTTCTCCCCGCCGCCTCCTTCTTCTTCTCATTTCCACTCTGCACAATATCCACATCCTATAATTTACAAAGACTTTTCTAATTCCCTCATATGATGACACGCCGCAGAAACACATACGACGAGAATCAGCACAGATCTACGAGGAAAGCTCAAGTGTGTCTGTCCTTCCACAGCGTTTGGGACGGCGGATGTCTGGATTTCTCCAAACACGGGACCCGAGAATATACCCGAATTCCTAAAAGTTTGCCAAAGGAAAGTTTTCTGCTGAAACTATTTTCTGATTTTTCTTTATTTCCTGTTTTTCTTAATAAATAAACAATAGAGTTCTTCGTTTTGATTTTTTTAAAATTGGAAAAGGTCAGAAAGCAGACAAAACAAAGTAATTCCCTTCCGGGAAATGAGGGTCTTTACCTCTGCCTATCCGTCCCCACCTCCTCCACTTCGCTCACGACACAAAGTCCCTCGCCAAATAAGCGAACCCAAACCGCACCGTGACGCAATGTAACAAGCTGAGTTCACTGACGCGCCCAGTAAATATAGCCGTGCGCTCACTGCGCGCTCGCGCCCGCCCCGGGCAGGGACTCGGCATCCAATAAACACGTGCACTACGACATGCGAGCAATGCGATCCATCATCTATTTCTAATAAAACGAAAACGGAAAAAAACGCGAGTTCTGATGCGTTGAGAGATGCAAGGAGTTTGCGGACTACTTTAAGTATTTAACTAGAACCACAGGCAGGCCTGAGATGGGCGCCACCCCGTCGCACGCAACGGGGGAGTTTGAGTCACACGGCTGCTCTTGCTCAAGAGCGGCTGGAGACTGCACTCATTTTTATTTTTTTAAAGTTTCATTTTTACGGGGATGTGTATAAAATAAGAACTGATGGAAAAGGTCAGTGCAACACCTGGTTTGGTTATAACATGAAATTCAGACGATATAAGAGGGGAAAATACGGGCGAATACCTCTGAATATGTAAAACATCTCATGTGGGGCCGCGGGGAGAACACGTCCAAACAAAACGGGAGACGTTAATCCGGGCTCCCGCTGCCTGCCCCCCCTCCGTCAGGATTGCAAAAGTTGGCGTGCATGTTGAGCGGGTCGGGTCGGGCCGGTCTCCTTAAGGGCTCCCCGGCGCCACGGAGCTGGTCTGGTCGGTCCCCCGGCGCCGGCCAGACAGGCGCCGTGCAAGGCGGCGCGACGCACGAGCAGAGTGCGCTGGTGGACAACCAGTCGGTATGTAGAGCAACGAGACGGACAAAAATGCACGTCCGGGTAACGACAGAAACATTAACATGACGGCACAATATTATAAACGCGCGGTGCCCTGCTCGCCGCCCGTTTTGAAACCCCGCGTCAGCGACACGAGTGCCCCGGGCATCGCACCGCCACCGCCGCTGCCGCCCTCCGACCCACAACAGCCCACGGGGCGGCACCGGCCGCCGGGCGTCGCGACGCCAGGAGACGGCGGCGGCGTCGCTCGAGTCTCGTCCAATCCGGTCCAGGTCGCCGCGCGTCAGATCGCGGCGCTAGCCTACTTCCACGCGACGCGCTACGGTGGCGCGTCGCCGCCGCTCCAATCCACGGCGCTTCCTGCTCCGCGAAACCAAACCAAACGAAAAATCTGATGTAATTCGCTCGACGCTCGACAGCAGCAGCGGCGGCAGCAGCAGCGGCAGCAGCAGCAGCAGCAGCAGCAGCAGCAGCAGCAGCAGCAGCAGCAGCAGCAGGCCGCCGCCAACGGCACCCCGGCGCGGGCGAGCCAAGCGCCCTAGAGGGCTCCGGGTAGGCAGACCCGCAGCGCACGCGCGCGCTCGAGCTGCCCGCCGCCCAGGCGCTGGCCACCGCGCGGCCGTGCGGGCACCAGGGAGGGAGGGAGGGAGGGACGAGGCGGTGCCAATATTCATTCCTTTGTGCTATCGGATCCGATCTTCCGCCGCGCTGCAAACCGATCAGCTGCCCAGCGGGGAGGGGGGCGGTGGGGCAGGTGGTAGGTGGTGGGGCCGGCGGCGGGGCGGCCTGCGACCGGGGCCGGGCTGGGGCCGCGGGCTACGCGCCCGGGGGGAGGGAGGCGCCCGCCAGGCCCCACATTCCTCTCTATGCAACGGCGGGGCGCGGGGCGGCGGGGCAACCTTATACCCTCCCCCTCCACCGGGCGCTATCGCGCGAGTCTCAAGGCAGCGTCGCGACGGCGTGCCAACCACGTGCAGCCCCGCCCATTCATCCAGCAGGGAACCGCCTGGAACAGCGGCGTGGCGTCGCGGCCCCCGGCGCGGCCCGGCGCGGGCAGCCCTGACCTCGCCCACGGCACGCGCCCAGGCTGGACCGGGCGGGGCTGGGACTGGGAGGCGAGGTGTTTCGGCAACCCGCGCCTCGCGAAACGTGTAGACGACAAAAGGCTGGGCAAACCGAAGGAGAAATCTGCGGGACGCGTGCGTCTCCGTCTGCCTAGAGAAGGGGGCCAGGCGCGGGGACGCTTTGGGACTCACATTTGGATGAGGCGCGGCCTGGGCCGGGGCGGCGGCTTGGCGAGCCGGTCCTCCCCGGTGGTGGACGACGAGGACGTTGATGAGGACGATGAGGTAGACGTCGAGCTGAGCTTCCGGTTCCTGCCCACGCCGCTCTCCTCCTCCGACTCCAGACTGCTGCCGCTGCTCGTGCTGAGGGCGCGCAGGTTGGCCCAGAGCTGTCTCCGCAGCTGTCTCCACTTGCCGGTGTTGGAGGCCATGGGCGAGGCCGACCCCTCGGGCTCCTCTTCCACGCTCGACATCACCTCGGACGCTCGATCCGAGGCCAGCAGGGCCGCCTCCTCGGCGCGGTGGTGGAACAGGCGGCTGCCGATCCAGGCGCGCTTGGCGTCGCGGCGGGCGTCGCGGGCCTCGGCCTTGAACAGCGCCTCGCGGTGCATCGCGGCCAGGGTATCCTGCTGCCGCTCGGCGCAGCTCTCGGCCTCGGCCAGGGCCTTCTCGGGCCAGCCGGGCCGCCGCAGCACGAGTCTCTGCCAGCTGGGCTCCTCGTCCTCGGCCTGCGACGCGTCCGACAGGCGCCTCTCGAACGGCGTGGCCCACGCCTGCACCGGGCTCACACGCCGCTTGCGCTTCATGGCCTGCGGTGCGGAGGGCGGCGCGGGGGCAGGCGGCAGCGCAGGGGCTGGCGGCGGCGCGGAGGCCGGTGGCTGTGCAGGGGTGGGCGGCGGCGCGGGCCAGGAGAGCATCGAGCACGTCTGCGTGGCGCTGGCGCGTCGCTTCCTCCTGATGACCGAGGCGGCCGTCGGGCTGGCGTCCAGCGCCGGCTCCTCCACCTCCTCGTCGGCGTGCTCACCACCGGCCTGGTCGCCGGGCCACGTCTGCGTGCCGCTGCTGCGCCGTCGCGGCCTGGTGTCCGAGACCTGGCGCGAGTCGGGGCTGACGGTCGGGCAGCAGTCGGTCGAGGCATCCTTGCTGGCGAGCGCTGAGTCCATCTCCGGGCTGGGCGTTCGGCTGGGCGTGGTCGGGTCCAGGCTCGTCTCAGACCCTAGGCCCGACTCGCTAGAGGTTAGACTGGAGTCTAGCTCCTGCTCTTCGGGCCGCCGGGGGTCCAGCGTGATGTGCGTCCACGCCTCCGTGTCGCTGACGCGCCGCTGGCGACGAGCCGGGGGCGGCGCTGGGGCGACGGACGGCGGCGGTGCAGGTGGTTCATCGCAGCCCTTGGCGGCGGCGTCGGGGGCGGGCAGGCCGGGCAGCACGAGGTGCTGGGACGACACGCGACGGAGGAACTCGGCCACGGCGTCCCAGTGCACCTGGGTCACGGCACCAGACAGGCGGATGCAGTCCACGCGGAGCGGCACGCCGCCCAGCGACCAGAATACGCCGCCGCCCAGCGCCTCGGCGGGCTGCGGCATGGCGTCCAGGGCGTCCAGCACCATGGCGACCCTGGCCGTCAGACCATCTGCAGGAAAGAGCAGCACCGTGTCGATGGGTTCCCGCTGCTGCTGCCACTACTACTGCTGCTGCTCTTGCTGCTGCTGCTTGCTGCTATTTGCGTGATCGAGAGTAACGGCGCGCCGCTCGTAAACGTGTCTCAATGTTACTCGGCGGCGGAGAGCCGGCCGCGCGTCGCGGTGCGCAGGCGGGCCGCCCCCCCCTCCCCCATCTACCTCCCTTCCTCCCCGCCCTTCCCCTCTCCGACGAGGACCGGTCCACGACCCCTGGGGTCCTTGGCGCGGGAGGCGGCGCGTCCTTGGCGACAGCGCCACCCAAACACGCGTCCCTCGCGGCGGCCGCGTGCGCCCGGCGTGCTCCCGGCGTGCGGCCAGCGTGCGGCCAGCGTGCGGCCAGCGTGCGGCCAGCGTGCGCCGCCGGGGATGCGCAGCGGACGCCGCGCCGCGCCAGCCGGAGGACGTGCCGCCAATGCCTCATGAGCGTTTGTCGCCTCATATGATTCCACCCGCTTTATGGAGCGCCGCCTCCACTTCCTGGAACAGGCGCGCTGCTCGGGGCGCTTCCCTGTCGCGTCACCCTCTACGCATACCCCGCTCCTCCAGCTCCCCGAACAAGAGCACGACGCTCCGGGGCCCCATCCACCCACCTAGCCTAACCCGTCCCATCCCGGAGGCTGGACGCTCCAGAGAACTGCCGGCCAGGCATTTCAGCGCTTTCTCCGGAGGGGAGCCCTGGGCGGGTGCGCGGCGAGTCGCAGCATGGTGGGGCGGGGCGGGGTGTGGCGTAGCGTGGCACGACGGGACGCACATCACAGCCGTCCACCCGGCGCCGGGCGTAGCGCGGCGGTCTAGCCGTTGCGTCACCGGTCATCCCGAGCAACACCGCCCCGCCGGACAGGACCCGGCTGCTTGGCTGACTTCGATACTCCCATATATTCCTCGGCCGGGGCGAGCGGCGAGCCAAGCAGAGCCAAGCGCCCGACCAGCGGCGGGTAGGCCACCCCGCCCGACAGCACGATCCGCCGGGGCTGCCTACAACTGAGGAGCTCCGAGTGGAGGGGCGGGGCGGGGCAGGGCGAAGCGGGACTGTCTACCCCGCAGGGGCTCCGGGTCGCGCTCACGTTTAGGGGCCGTAAAGGCGAGCGGCCCAAGGCTCGCGCGTTGCGAAAAA